TAGAGAACGTAGGTTGGAGGCTAATGTGTTCTGAAATGCGCCGGGAACATTTGGGGCGGCGAGCTTGTCTGTGTCAAACCGTTTCCGGCGACACTGTTGGAGGCCTCCAAAGCGCAGAACGAACAGCACACGCGAGCGCATGATCCGAAGTCAGGTAAGCGTTCCAAATTGACTTGCAGTCCGTTATGCAACCACGCCAACGGTAACTAACAGCGATGTGGTCAATTTGCGTCCAAGATTGACCAGGCGCCGGAAGTCGCCAGGTGGCTCGTTGGTGCCAGGAACGTTGGAAATTAGTGCTAAAGAGGAACAAGCCGTGGTCGGCGCACAGTTGCAGGAGTCGATCGCCGTTGTCTCTCCTGCGAGTACCGTGGCTGTGTTGACCTCCAAGTTCGCTCTCATGAACCTCTAGTCTACCGACCTGCGCATGTAGGTCACCGGTGGGTATCACGATGTCCGTGCGGCGTTTATTGCGGAGGAGATCGGTGAGTTGGCGGTAGAACTCGTCTTTAGCTTCGTCCGGGATGCAGTCAGTTGGAGCGTATGCCGCCAAAATGAATAAGCAGCGCCTACTGGTTCTGTGGCTGGAAGAACGCACTGAGCTTTCCAAGCGGACCACACATAGACGACTGTGGACTGGGAACCAGTCAATCAGCACTGCCTCAGCACGCGCGCTTAACGCAACTTCTACGCAGGCACAACCAGAGGCTGCCGCTGTCACACCTACAGATAAGCGCAAGGTGCATGTGCAATTAGAACTTGGGGAGGGTACAGCAATCGCAGCGTTGTGCTGGTGTCTTTTAAACGGGTTTCGGTTAGGCAAAAAATATCGATTGAGAGGGTTTCCAAGATGCGCGCAAGAGCAGCTTGTGAACCAATCTGCATGAGCGTTCGAACCTTGGATATAGCTAGCTTAAAGAGCGAGCGGGGTGCAATAAAGCCCTTACTGTTGGTATTGGACTGTGTGCGATCGGTTTTGAGCGGTTCATTGATGAGGCCAAAGGTACCGTTTTTATTTGCAATGCACTTTTGGAGACACGAAATTGAAGGGGGTTGCCAAGAACAAGAGGGTTGAATAAACGTGGAACGAAGAACGTGGTTTGCGGTGCGGTAGAGTGAGGTTTAACATGCCCGGCCGCCAGCGCCCCGGCCAAAAGAGAGTGTTTCGAGAGCGAGAAACGTAAGCAGAGAGTTATAAATCTATCATTGTGTTGTGTGGGCATACAGCTTCCCGATTGCCCAGACCGAGGAAGGGGGTTGACTTAGGGGGTCCCACCCGGAGCCTTTGGTCATAGGGATCTGACCCGCACGGCAGTCGGGCCGAATACAGAGAATTGCGCCCATTGGGAGCCGGTGACCGGTTGCTCGGTTCATACGCATTTCATTTGGCTGGCTGTCAACCAGGGGCCCAATACTCATAGTAATTCAGCGTCAAGCGGAATGATTACAATGCTCCAGCAAGATGAAGCAAGGGGCAGTGACTTTATTTAGTGGCGAGTTACATCCGCCTCGTCGCAGTGTTGTTAAACGGACATATGTGACTTTTTATGGGGAGAATGCTTGTCAGGCAAAATCCACCACGTCCTGGAACACTGCCACCGAACCTTTCGCGGGAACGGGATAATCCCGAACCACCCAGTTGACACCACGAAGAGGCCGTTCGGCAATCCAACCAGACTTTAGTTGGTTGCGAGTCGCAACCGCCGCATCGCAGTGTTATTAACTCTGCTCTACTTAACCAGTGCCCTGGATACATTGGGCGTTCTTTGAAGATTTCGCCAGTGTGTTTACAGCTGGATATTTCTTCCACAAACTCTCAGAAACCAGAAGAAAGTGTAAAAGAATTAATCGATCGTATACTCCAGGTGGTACCAAACTGTAAATACACTGAAATTAATCCGGCTGGATTGGAAGAGACCAAGTTGCTCCAGTGCCTGATCTCTGGGATTTCAGACCAGAATACCCGGGAGAATATCTCTTAAGATGATTTTTACTGACGTAGTAGACGGTCTGCCTGTTTGCCCGGCAACTAACAATGTTTGCTTTTATAGATCAACTGGGGGATTTGCCATTGGTTCATAGCACTCCGAAATTCAAGAAGACACCTATAAACGGCAGTTCCTTCGTATGCTATCACTATGATGAGCGCCATAGTTGTCCTTCTGACTGTCGATATCAAAAGATGGTATGCAGAAGTTGCGGGAAGATTGGTCGCATGGCGCGAGTATGCAGGTTTGTCAAATATCGTTTGGACGTGAGTTATCGGAGAACGAAGCCTATTAAAACAGTGGACGAGTCAGAGGGGAGCGAGTCTTTAGCAGTCTGGAGATTCCCCGGTTTTCCTGTGTACAATACTAACTAAATTATTTCATTGTACACCTAGGTGAACAATGCGGATTGCTGAACTGGTTGCTGAGTTCGATCGCTTGACGTCGCCATTTTACTTGGCGCTTCTTTCGATTGCAACACCAGACTTACTTGTGTGCTGTGCTTTCTGCGTTCCCCTTAGTTAGAGCGTCAACGGTGTCGTTTTTTATGGCTAGGCAACAGGGAACCTTTTGCTGTACGAATAAAAGTTTCCCTGCAACCCGATCTCTCTTTTGGCATCTCTATCCGAGCTTTCGATATAGGCTATTCGTTGACTTTGTGACCCCGACTCCGGAAGAACCACAAGGCCGGATATTTCGAATGTTACTCTGATGAGCCCGTTCCATTTATATTTTTCATATTTTCCGGTTTATTTTCGCATACGGTAACATTTATTGCATCCATTTTTAAACCATGGATTATGTAGCTTATAATTTGGAGTCTCTCGTTAGCGTTGTATCACTCTCTGTCTCATCTTTTTAGAACATATGTTCCTCTTTCGTGGTCTGCTCATTTAGAGGCAGAATTTTGTAACCACAGAATTACCACCGACTACGCTAAGTGCAGCAAATTCAACTTCGAAGCTCATGTCCTATCTCTCAAAGGAGATACCAATGCAAGTTCGAGACCTCATCAGTTCTCAGACCGAAAACCGATTTGAGGCCCTCAAGGAGGCCACGATTAAGCGCGTCATGCTTTCTGAGAAATTCCGCCTGCAGCAGCTTTCCAGGAATCTGCAGTTGCGCGACAAAATTTCCTCAGCTGCTTCGACAGAGGCAACAGTTCCTCGGTTCATCAACAATGAATGAGACAGTACTCTGCGAACTATGGATACAGTGGCTACCGGCAAATACACAAGCAATTCTTGTTATCGTTAGCTCTGTATCGCTCACCCAACTAGCTGATTTAGCAGACCGGGCCATCGAACAATCACAGCCACAAGCTGACGCCAGCAAGGTCAACGCCGTCGCGTCCCATGTACTTCTATTACTGGCTTACAGTCAACCATAGAAGACCTACAAACACAAGTTGCGACCCTCAGTCGCCAAGTCCAACAGCTCACCATGAGACGTCTCCTTCACATCCGATCCAAATCGTTCTCGAAACACCAAGTCCAGCAACAGGCAGACTTGCTGTTAGTACCACCAACACTTGGATATCGCAGCTCTTAAGGGTGTCAAGCCCTGCACCTTTGCCGAGAAGCAGGGGAACTTTTCGACCGGCACTTAACGGCGACGGATGCGATTGGCAAATAGCATTGTCGTCTCCTCCACGTTACGGAGTTAATTTCAGACACCGGGTTCCTAATCGAGACTGTAGCCGAAGTTAGCGTTATACCCCATAGCTCAGATGAGGTGGTCTCACCCTCGCCGATCAAGCTGCGTGCCGCCAATGGTACACCAATTGCAACTTTCGGCGACAAGCTGTTAACGCTCAATCTAAGCCTCTGGCGAACCTTTCGCTGGCCTTTCATAGTAGTAGCCGTGCCCTTTTTTATCATAGACTTTCTTCAATACCTCGACCCTATCGTCGACGATAAAAGGAAGAAGCTTATCGACTCTAGGACACAGCTCAGTGCTTTCAGGACCAGCACCAACGTGGCCGCTATCACTCCCATTTGTGTCATACCTCAAGCTTCACAGCCTTTTGTCGACCTTTTCAACAATCATGCTAAATTTCTTCGCGTTCCGAACGAATTGCATCCTGTGACGTCAAATGTCATGCGCTACATCGCGACTAAGGGTCCACCTGTTTCGATCGCCCCTCGCAGACCAAACCCCGACAAGCTTAAAGCAGCCAAGGCGAAATTCGAGCAAATGCTCGAACTGGGAATAATACGCCCGTCCAAAGGTCCATGGGCATCACCGTTACACATGGAACTCAAGAAATCCGGTGACTTGTGCTCCTGTGGTGACTACAGGGCACACAACAAAGTCACCGTCCCGGATAAGTACCCCATTCCGCACATGCACGACTTAACAGCTCTAGCTGTTAAGTCAATCTTTAGCAAAATCGACATAGTTCGTACCCAACCACCAAATACCTGTGGTTCCAGACGATATTGCTAAAACAGCAGTCATCACGCTGTTTGTTCTTTTTTGTGTACTTCAGAATGTCTTTCGGCCTCAGTAACGCTGCACAAACCTTTCAGCGGTTCATTCATGAGGTAACACGAGGACTCGAAGGGATTATCCTTATCTAGATGACATTCTCATCGCCAGCTTCTCTGACGATGAACAACTCTGTAATCACGATACACAACGCTTGACGCAATATGGGGTCATCGTTCAGCGCGATAAATGCGAGCTTGACCAAAGCTCCATCGACTTTCTTGGACACAGAATATCCTCCTCTGGCATTGAAGCTTTGCCAGACTAAATCCAGGCACTGAAGAACTATCCTTGCTCCTAGTTCCTTCAAACCGCTTCGCAGATTCCTTGGGCTGTTCAACTATTACCAACGCTTTATTCCTAACTGCTTGACCACCATGCAATCAATGACTGACTTGCTTCGCGGTAATCAATGCTCTTTTCTTTTTCCAGACGATGTCAAACTAGGTTTCGAGAAACTAAGAAACTGTCTCCAACATAGCGCTTCTCGCTCACCCAGACCCAACCCGGCCACTTTCTCTTATGACTGCTGCATCAGACACCGACGTGGAGACAGCTGTTCAACAACTCGTTGACAATCGATGGATACCTCTTGGTTTCTTTTCGACGCGTTTGCAACCTGCCGAATCGCGTTACAGCACCTTCGATAGGGAAATACTAGCAATCTACTTAGTTATCCGACACTTCCGTCACTATCTCGGTCGACATTTTGCAGTTTTCACGGACTACAAACCGTTGATCTACGCAATCAATGGTGCAACAGACAAGTACTCTCCGCGAGAAACTAGACATCTAAACTACGTCTCTCAGTTCAAAACAGACGTACGACATATCTCAGATGATATTAATCCCGTCGCGGACGCTCTGTCACGCATCAATCAGATCAGCTTGGCACTTGGAGCCAGCATCGACCTAGACGCCATGGCTGCTGCTCAGCAAGTTGGTCCCGATATAGGCAAGCCTCGGCGTAATACTTCTGACTCTCCTGTGCAACGATTACCTCCTCAACCTGGACCATCACGGCCAACACCGCAATCTCAGACCAGTCACTCCGCTTCAGCGGAACCTACGGCCACAACCGACCTCACCCATACTATCAAACGACGTGGTAGGGGAATCAAACCTCGTGAATTTCTCAGACTCTGTTAGCATTCGTTAATTTACATAGAGCATGCTTCTCACCTTATCGCGCTCCTACAAACGTTTTCCAAAACCTACCAAGAAGACTAAAACTTTTTGAAACTGCCAAAAAGAGTAAAACCTTTTGCAAACCCCAGAACAGCTTCGCACGCTTTTCGCTTTGCTCGGTTTTGTATATAGCTATGCACTCATGTTGCTCTTTTTCGTTTCGCTTTGCATATACACACCGTCGGTTGGTTGCTCCTTGGTTTTGCGCTTCGCTGGATCCCTGCACTACAACTGGAAGCGCAACGAACTTCTTGCTCAGCCATCATCATCACTATACACATTAGCTAGAGATGGGAAACACCTCAGCTACTGTGCCGAAATACGTAAAAGAAAAAAGAAAATAAATGCAACAGTTGCTTGCCAGCTGAGCTACCAGCAACGGATGGGCATCGTTCTGGTAAGCTACCAGCCGGCTACTAGGCAACATGAAAAATTATGATGTAAAATTATATTACGCCACGAAATGAGATAGTGGTTGGAGGGGGAGGCTAAAGGGGATGGGGAGAAACGAAGAAATATTTTTAAATTGTCGACAGGACATGAGTGACGCACCGCGTTAGCGTGTGCGTTGAAGCTAGAAGATAAACGCCTAGTGAAGCATGTTGAGGGAGGGCCAAGAATCGGGGGGTTGAAAACTGGGGGGATAAAAGTGAAGTTGGAACGGGACCATAAGGGAGAAAAAGCGTAAGAGGGGAATAAGAGAAGGCTTGAGCAGTAGCATCCAAACCCCTATCCACCCTGCTCGATGCAGCAGATAGGGCACCGTTGATTATCCCCTGCGGTGGCCAGAGCATCAGCAATTTGTTTGAGATAAGCTTCATGGTATTGCGTGGGCAGGATACTATCAGGTTGTCCAGGCCTAGACAGGAGAACGATTAGGGTTCTCAACCAAAACCTTTGGTTCATAAACCTGACTGCAAGGCATCGGGTTTGGCAGTGGGCTACAAGGTCTTTTTAAGGAATATGGAGCCACCTTCATTCCAACCCCCAACCTGGAGGATCAGGAGGCTGAGTTTGTCTGGCCTCTAACCATTGACCAATCTGGTATGAGTGACTCTGAAGATGCAAAAGCACCACCCAGCATAGCTCAATGGATCACTGAGGCACACAAACCATCACACCACGGTAAGGTCCAGCCTCATTGCGATGGTCCTGCTCAACCACTACGTGAACTTTGCTAACTGCCCCACCCCCACAAACGTTTTTTCCCGTTTCGACACCGTAGGGAGGACACGGGTGGGAGCCCACTAGGGTCAGATTGCATGGTTCTTCCCCAGCAGTTGCATCAGGTTTCACAACCTGGTCTCGCAGATGGCTGGCCCGCGACGGACAGTCCTAACGCAGATCGGAGGACTGCTTACACTGTCCCTGCTGGAGGAGGGCTATGTAGCCGTCTGGACAATCCCCAATTTGCCTGTGTAAAATTCTAAACACAATCACTATTTCATTGTACACTTAGGCGACCGATGCGGATTGCTGAACTGGTTGCTGAGTTGGATTGTTTGAGTTGAGCATCGTCCTTTTTCTTTGCGCTTGTTTCGCTTGCAACGCGCGACTGCCTTGTGTACTGTGCACTTTACGTTTCCCTAGCTACAGCGTCAACGGTGTCGTTTTTTATGGCTAGGCGACAGGGAACCTTTTGCTGTATGAATAAAAGTTTCCCTGCAACCCGATCTGTCTTTCGGCATCGGTATCCGAGTTTCCGATATAGGCTACTCGCTAAAAACCCGAATTGCATTTCATATGGTCGAATACAGTTCCCAACTCGCGGCCCTAGAGTTTTATATTGAGGGAACAAAGGTGCAGATGGAAATCGATACGGGAGCATCAGTGACGATAATTAAAGAAAGGCTGTGAAAAGGCTGCCGCCCTTATTAGTTTACAATTCTGTTCTCTGCACGTACACCGGTGCACCGATACGTGTCCTTGGTAAATGGTCAGTAAAGGTACCATACGGCGACAGGACACAGCCACTTCCTGTATATGTGGTCTCCGGAGATCGCCCAAATCTGCTGGGAAGGGACTTAATGCACGCATTTCCGGATACACTGGAGCTAGTAAAACAGCCGCTGAGGTTCCAGGACTTAAAACATTACTCAAGCAACATTCAGCTGCTTTTGTCAAGGGGACGGAAAATTTGGATAATTTCCAGATTTTGATAATGGTCAGTGAAAAAACACTCCGCCCAAATTCATCAAGGCGCGCACACTACCGTACGTCATGAGTCCTGAAGTGGAAGAAGAATTAGGCGGCTTACGTAATCAAAGTATTATTACCCCTGTACAATTTTCTGATTAGGACACACCAATATTGTCTGTAACCAAGCCAGACGGCTCCATACGTATTTGTGGTGACTGCAAATTGACTGTTATCCAAGCTTCTATGTTAGTCAGGTGTCCGTTGCCACGTATTTTAGATTTGTACGCAACACTGGCAGGTGGTTAAAAGTTTACGAAGCTTGATCTCAGCCATGCATATTCACAGATTGAGCTCCACGAGCCTTCCAGGAAGCTTACTACTATTACCACACATATAGGACTTTTCCAATATACCCGTTTGTCTTTTGACATAAATTCCGTCCCCGGAATCTTCCAGAGGATTATCGACAACCTGGTGGAGGATATACCTTTCGCTTGTGCCTATCTAGTCGATCTTCTTATCTCGGAATGCCAGACACGACTACTCCGCTCGACTGCATCCCTGCAGTTTTGGGTAACAGTTTGGCTGCCGTGCTGTAGAGATTACCGATCGAGGATCTTTAGCGCCTAAAAAGATAACTGCCATCTTACATGTACAGTTTAATTGCTGACCTATTGTACATTATTCCTTCTTGTTTTAATCTTCCTTACAACCGGCTCGACACTCGACCGCCTTGTAAGTTCCTGCACTCACGTGTTCGCTCTTGTCTCGCTTCATCCGTCCGCGTCTTCTTGTAGCCTATCGAATACAGTCAGCTGTGTCCGACTCCAATTGTCTTCTGATATCCGCACTTAATTTCGCGCACGGTCGCGGACTAGTATTAACTAGTCCTACAGATCGCACCCCAATAGATCCTCAAGCAAATTAGTCAACTTATTTGGTTGTTAGCTAAATGAAAACACCATACACCACCATACAACAAACAGGGGGATAGAAAATTTAGTCACCAGTCCAAAGATTCACCTCTCGCCCAATCTAGCATTTCTCGGGACATAATCAAGGCGGACCTGGATCCTACTTCATCTTTTCTAGTTTTTGGCAGAACACCTGGTGAACCCGTGCCTCCAATGGGTCCCACAACATTCGTTTATGGCGAATACGCAGTTCGCATGCGACAGCTTTAGCTTATGCAACCCAGAGCACACAACTGGCATACCAACGCAGACGAAGCCTAAACTCGAACCCACGTTTTCGTTCGTACAGACAGCGTACATCGGTTACGTCAACCTCCTAATTCCGGTGTGTTTTGTTGTACACAGAACTAAACACTACCATATTTTGCAATGGAAGCAGTGTGTCTCTCAGTGTTGACCGACTCAAAGCAGCTTTTGTAAACGACTCTGACTCTCCGGCTCAAAAGCTTCTTAAGCTGCACCAACAAATCCAACTTCGTAACCCCAGACCGGTAACAGCGTTCCACCGGAACCTACTGGTACCATTAACCTCACTTTGCAATACCCATCCTCAGCCGACAAGGCAGAGAACTCAGACTACCCTTACTCTTTGTAGACTTTCCAACGTTCTTTATTTCCGGTAGAGTATTTTTGCACATCCGTGTACAGTTCTCACATGTGATTCTGCAAACTTCATACAAACCCACAAAGAGACAAAATGCTTCAAAATCACCTAAAAGGTACAAAACCCAATTCGATAGGCTTAGTTTCTTGTACAATTATCAATTTGTTGTTTCCACTTCTGCTGTTTATGTACACGCGGTTTGTTGCTCGCATTTTCTCACTAGAACCCCGAAACTGTATCGACGTCAAAACGAATCTCACGCACGTCCAGCTATCTAATTTCCTAAGGACTGATTAACTATTACTGCATTTTCCGTTTTAACACCGCCAGAAGGACACGGTAAGAATCTGATAGGCTTCGTCTCTATTTGTGATACTCCATCAACCGCCTCAGATGCAGTACAAACCACCGCAAGGCCCACTGGGTCCGTGTTACTGCAGTGTCGCAGAAGACTGGCTGACAATGGATAGTCTTCATATATACTGAAGGGTTGCTTACTAGGTCCCAAACCAGCCGGGCCTAAGTTCGACCGACCTAACGGCCAACATTGCAACGTGTGTTTACAAGTGATCACCGCTGACAGCGAGCGCGCCACGCTGACTCACGCTTGTCATTGACGCGGGAAGCTGCACTGACTGATCATCCGACCAACGCGTGACCTTAGAACTTCGCGCCCTTGGCGAACATGTCTCACGTTAAGAGCAAGTGTGAGTTGTGTGTTAAATTGGTGAAGAGTGGGCTAGTTTGTAGCAGTTGCTTAAAAACCTATCACACAAAATGTCTTGGGACGGAGCCGATAAGAACGGGACGGTACCATAACACGACAGGGGCGTTTCGGTTCTGCCCAGTATGTAGTGCTATCCCAGTTGTTAGCTGTCTAACTATGCTACTGAGGAAGTGTGAAAGACTAACATAAGCAGTCGAGCAACTGGTGTGCGCCAGGGTTACACCTATGAGAGGAAACGGATCTGCACTTGTATATGAAAATAACACCCCGAATTCCCCATTCAGGCGGAAGAAAAGAGCAAGGCGTCCCAACATTACCCCAACGACTCAGTCTCAATCAGTACCAACTCCTTTCTCTCTCTCTCTCTCTCTCTCTCTCTCTCCCATAAGTAAAAACATTATCTGCAGCGTGCCCACTCCGACTTCTGTACAGTTTGTTCCACCTACTAGTTTGTTCGCTATACAACAGCCCCAAAGCTGTAGTCAACCAGTCATAATGAGGAACCAGGTGACATACG